CCATGCGCCACCACGCCCGGCTGATTTTTTGATTTATTGTAGAGATGAGGTCTCGCTGCCCAGGCGGGTCTCGAACCCGCGGGCTCAGGCAATCCACTCACCTCAGCCTCCCAAAGGCGCGGGATTACAGGCTGAGCCACCGAGCCCAGCTGGCATGCTCCTTTTAATTCCTTCTTTGATTACTTTATCCCCTTCCTGTTTTCCCTCAGCAACTCAGATGCTGACCCAGTTGGCTTAACTTCTGTCTCTCATCATCTGCTTTTGCCACTCTACCCTCTGTCAGTTTCCCTTCTGCTCTTCCTTCTTCCCCTCTACCTCCACCTGAGGAGGAGGGGCCAGAGTCTATGGCTGTGAGTTGAAATGCCTGACCCTAGCCTCCAGCCTCCCTCTCCTGCCCTCCCCCACGGCCTGATAACCCCCTGGCTGCAGCAAGTCAAGCCGTGGGCACAGCCTTCCCCCCTCCCCCACTCTTCTCCACCGTGTATTCTTGGAAAGCCCATTCAGGTTTCCACCATGGCTTAACTGGTCTCCCCTCAGAGGTGGCTGGGATAATAAGATATTAAAGTTCATGTTTTTTCCTGTGATACATCTCTCTCAAATTAAATCTAAACTAAGACTATCAATGTTCTTCCCAGACAAATGTAAAGGGATCATGTGTTAATTAATCCTGTAAACTTGCAAAAAAAAAAAAGGCAATTGTCATTTTAATCTGCTTTTCTAACCAAACTTGCAAGTGCTCTAGTAAAATCTTAATTCCAACTTTATCATGGGCTGAAACATTAGTGCTAAATAACACCAGCATTTGTTATGTCTGGCTTGCTAGAGTTGTTTTATAAAAAGAAAGTTAAGTCACTTTACTAAGCCTAGTACTTCTCCTGCCAGACAGACAAATATTGGGTACTCTTTAGGCACAATGAGGATAGGAGCTGATCACTCCCACCTAATTGTCACACCTCACCACTAAGACTGTAATTTAGTAATTTATAAAGGGTTTTCACAAATTTACCTGTTCATAATTAGAAATAAATAGGGGCAGATCATTTCACATCCACGTAATCTGTTTGCTCTAAAGGATTTTATATCAGACTGTTACAGACAGAAAAATGGTCAAAAGTTTCATATCTATAGCCACTTACAGGAAAACTTTTGAGGTTTTTTCTTTTCTTTCTTTTTTTTTTTTTTTGAGTTGGAGTCACTCCGTCACCCAGACTGGAGTGCAGTGGCCACTCCCGGCCACTGCAGCCTCAACCTGCTGGGCTCCGGAGATCCTTCTGCCTCAGCCTTCCAAGCTGAAACTACAGGCATGTGCTACCACACCCGGCTAATTTTCTGATTTATTGTAGAGATGAGGTCTCGCCAAGTTGCCCAGGTGGGTCTTGAACCCACGAGCTCAGGCAATCCACTCACCTCGGCCTCCCAAAGCGTGAATTACAGGCTGAGCCATCGAGCCCAGCCTGAGGTTTTTTTTTTCAGCTGAGATGTTAGAGGAGCAGCAGGGTGCCAACATGGAGGGCGGCAGAACCAGAGGGCCAAAAGAGGCATCTCAATTGGCAATCACCATTAGTGACAAAATTCCAACTGCCCATCAGAGACCTGGTAAGAACGAATCTAAAGGGAATGGTGTCCGTTGCTGTGGGTATAGTCTGCAGGGGCTAAAAGCATAGTTGCCTCAAAGAGGCCTAAGCCTCCTGGATCTTGTCCAATATGCAGGCCAGAAAGCCATTGGAAAGCAGGTGCACTCTCTTCTGAAGAGAGAACACCTAGCTCAGAAATACTAGCCACTTAGGGAGGCCTGGGAAGTCTGCTAAAGTGCCTGGCACTGGCTCACCATCACCTCAAAGCCCTCCAGGTGGATATTAGGGCGCTAGTCCCAGCTACTGGGGAGTCTGAAGTGGAAGAATCACCTGAGCCCAGAAGGTGAAGGGTGTGGTGAGCTGTGATCCTCCCACTGCACTACAGCCTGGACAACAGAGACCCCCAACTCAACAACAAAAATGGATCATATAACAATGTAAAACACAAAACCATAATAGTCCTAGAGGATTACATAAGAGAAAAATCTAGAAGACTGGGATCGGTGTTGACTTCTTAGATATAAAAACGTTTGATCCATAAAAGTAGTAATTGATATGCTGGACTTCATTAAAATTAAAAACATTTGCATTCCAAAAGACATCATGAAGAGAATAAAAAAGTAAACCAAAGACTTGGAGAAGATATTTGCAAAAGACATCTGATAAAGGACTGTTATCACAAATATACAAGAACACTTAAAACTCGGCAATAAGAAAACCCAATATAAAAATGGGCAAAACATCAGGTAGGGTGGTATGTACCTGTATTCCCAGCTACCCGGGAGGCTGAGGTGGGAGGATCGCTTGAGTTCAAGATGCCTCGGCAACATAGCAAGGTCCTGTCTCAAAAAAAACCCAAAAACAAACCAAAACTGAATAGGCACCTCACTGGACATCCAAACAAACAAATGGACAATCAGATTTAAAAAGGACTGTACACACAGACTTTGTACAGATGGCAAATAAGCATGTGAAAAGATACTCAATATCATAAGTCATCAAGGAATTTCAAACTAAAAAAAAAAAAATGAGATACTACTAGACTCTTATTAGAATGGCGGAAATCCACAACACTGACACTAGCAAATGCTGGGGAAGATGTGGAACAACAGGAAGTCTCATCATTGCTGGTAGGAATGCAGCATGGTACCATCACTTCTGGAAAACAGTTTGGCAGTTTCTTACAAAACTAAACATACATTTAACCATGTGCCCCAACAATCACGCTCCTCAATATTTACCCAAATGAGGTGAAAACTTGTGTCCACACAAAAATCTGCACATGAGTGTTCATAGCAGCTTTATACCTAATTGCCAAAACTTGAAAGGAAGCAAGATATCCTTCAAAAGGTGAATGGAAACATAAACCATAGTACATCCATTCAGACACTGAAATATTATTCAATACTAAAAAGAAATGAGCTACCAAGCCATGAAAAAACTTGAGGAAACTTAAATGCATATTTGTAAGTGAGACGATTTACAAATCTTTCACTTTATGAAAGGCTTTATGATTCCAACTATATAACATTCTGGAAAATGCGTAACTATAGAGACAACAAAAGATCACTGGTGCCAGGATAGATAAGGAGGATTCAATAGGTGGCACACAGAGAATGTTTAGGGCTGTGAAACTATTCATACTGATGAATATATGCCATTATACACTGATAAAACCTGTGGAATGTACACTACCCAGGGTTAACCACAATGTAAACTACAGCCTTTAGATGATAATGATGTGTCAGTGTAAGTTCACAAATTATAACAAATGTATCATCTTGCAAGGAATGGTGGTAGTTGGGAAGGCTGTGAATGGGGTGGGAGCATAAGAGAACTCTGTACTTTCTGCTGAGTATTGCTGTGAACCTAAAACTGCTCTAAAAAAGTCTGTTATCAGCCAGGTGTGGTGGCACATGCCTGTAATCCCAGCACTTTCGGAGGCCAAGGTTAAAAGACTGCTTGAGGCCAGGAGTTCAAGACCAGCCTGGGAAATAGTGAGACCTTATCTCTACAAACAACAGAATTAGCCAGGCATGGTGGTATGCACCTGTAGTCCCAGCTCTTCTGGAAGCAGAGGGGGAGGGGTTGCCTGAACCCAGGAGGTCAAGGCTGTGGTGAACCGTGATCATGCCACTGCACTGGGTGACAAAGTGAGAGCCCCAGCTCAACAATAACAAGCAAAATAAAGTCTATTTAAAAAAAAAGATAACCAAAACAAAAATAACCATGTTAAGAAGAAAAAAAGGCTGTTAGCAGGGGTTAAAATGGTTGTGGAAGTGGAGGACAGATGAGTCAAGCAGTGGAGCCATTGACTCCAGCAAGTAGAGTCCTAGTTACTAAGAGGCTAAGATGGGAGGGTCGCTTGAGCTCAGAAGTTTGAGGTTGCAGTAAGTTATGATTGCACCGCTACACTTCACCTAGGGTGGCACAGCAAGACATTGTCTTTGAAAAAGGAAAAAGGCGAATGAGGAGATGGACCTTATACGGGACCAATAACAATAAAATGTCTTGAGAAGACGGACCTCATACTGGACCAATAACAATAAAATGTCACGAAATGAAAAGCGAGTTTATCGCAGCGCTTTCATCCAAAAGAAAAAGGGATTCTGTGCATGTGCTTTGTAATCACAAATTAAATCAGGTTTAACATCAGGTAATTTTGAGTCTGTCTTCGGGTGTTCACATTTTGAACACATCCCTTACAAGTAAGAAATCAGCCCCCATAATAAGGTGAAAACAACAATCTGAATTCAGATTTTCTATCACACACACCCACACAAAAACCGTGTTTTATACCTCTCCCCAGCTTACTCTGTAAACACTAAAATGCCTATTCTCTGCACGCATGCATTGGACTTGAAGTCTAAGGATGGGCCTTTCCTGCGCTCATTGCCTCACGCTTGCTGCCGACAGGTGGCGTTAGGGCACAATAACATTTGCTCTGCTTTGCGCATCTAGGAAGCGCAGCGGAGCGCGGTCGTCGGACTGCCAGCTTCGTCTATCATCGATTTCCACCACTTTACTTCCCAAAGACCGCCGGAGGAAAAGGCTTAAAGTCTCTTGAGATTTTCCTGGGCAGGAAGACCTCCTCATAACAAGAACCAGGCGCAAATCTTACCAACTTGAAAGTTTCCGACAGGGAGGATGGTCCGATTTGAGGATTAAACCTAACTCTGGGGCCCTATACGGACGTCCAGGAGACAGGAAATACAACGCCGTGGCCACCACCGCCTAAAGGTCTGGCCTCACGCACAGCTCGGCAGCGGTGTGACCACCGGGACAGCCTCGCCACCAGCCAGGTCCACGCCATCTTTTCCGAATCCGAAGCCTCGCCTTTTCCTCACGGCGGCGCCAGGCGGCGCAGCAGGACGGCGCAGAGCTGCGCGTGCGCACCCGGCAGACCGCGTCCCGGAGACGTTCCCGGCCTCCTTCGGTCTCCCCGAGCAGCATGAAGGCCGCCGAGGACTCCGCAGGAACCGGCAGCGAAGGCCCGCGGAAGCTGGGACTCTGCGTCCTCTGCGGGCTGCCCGCAGCAGGAAAATCAGCCTTCGCACGCGCGCTTGGCCACTGGCTGCGGCGGGAGCGGGGCTGGGCCGTCGGCGTCGTCGCCTATGATGACGTCATGCCGGACGCGTCCTTCGACGGGGCCAGCGCGCCGCCTTTGGTGAGTGCGAGGGGCGGGGCCCGGGCTTGGCTCGCCAACCGCGGCGTGCCGGCGGCGCGTCGAGGCGGCGCTGTGCTGTGTCGCGCGCACGCCGGAGACTTAGTAGACAGTGCCGCGCCTGGAGGAGAGGCAGGCGTTCCGGAAAAGTGGAGCTGGGTTAGCGTCCTTATTGCAGCTAGTGAGCGACTTGGCTGTCGAAATGTATCGGTAAATAGTTAGGAAGAAAGCGTTTTGGAATGGTGCGTGTTGGCGGTAGTGGAAAACTGCCTGGGGAAGGGGAACACACTTCATCAACAAGGTACCTGCACAATGAACGTCTGTATACCTAATCCTGAATTGTATCCCACGTTTTAAAATTAAAACATTTCTAAAAAAGATTGGTGCATGCTAGAAGTTTATATGGATATTTGATGCATATGTATGTGCACCATATATATAGTATAGAGTATGTTTTATATATACGGTATATTCTATGCAGCGGAGTCTCAAGACAGGATTAGGTTCTGAAGTCTGCATACAAGGTGGAAATCCCCTGGAGCCAAATGTACTCTTGAGAATCCCTTGGGAAGTTTCTCTTGAGGAAAAGAAAAGAATCTCGAAATGTTCCAACATAGCTAGTTTAACATCTAGCTACAGGTGTGTCCAGATTTTGTGGGGCTTGACGTTTATGAAATTTGAGGAACTCTCTTTAAGAAAAATAATACCAATTATAAAATTGCTAGGGACCCTCCCAGAATGATAGAAAGAGGCTGTACAAACGAAGGATCAGTTTCTGAAGCTTAATGTTTTACTCGTCTCAGTAAATTTGCTTCTGGAAAAGGTGGCTCTTTCTTAGTTGGTCGCCAGGGGAAATAATAGGCTTGTACTGTATTTAGGGACAGTATGTTCCAAGTACATACTTCTCATTAAACCCTCAACTCACACTCATCACACAAGAAGCATTCTCTTGGAGAAGCTTATGGAAACTGCGACCACTGGGAGAAGAGTGGATTCAAGTCTCCCAGCTCATGCGCACTCTAGAGAAAATACTCTTTGAAATATTCTGAAATCTAAAAATTGATTTTGTTTAGTGCCTGATGTAGATGAATGTACATAAATCAAATACAAATATAATGTGAATCCACTCTGTGAGGATATGCAAAAATACAGTATATTTGTTGCCTGGATAAGTTCCGGGCCTCCCCTGCAAAGTTTATTTAATTCCTCATTCTTGGATGTGAGGTAAATGCAGTATCAGGGTAGTGCAGGAATTACAGAGATGATAGTATTTTCACCACTCAGGAGGAAACTCAAAGTTATTGATAGGGATTGTTGTATTTTCTGGCTTTTCCCTCATTTTTATGATATATTTTTTCCACCCTTTCCCCTACAGACAAATGCCATAGGACTCATCTGGTTACCATCATTAGAAAATCTTACCTTTTAGGAAGAGATGTTGTTCCATTTTAGCGGGTTTAGCTGATGTATGTGTGTGTTGCTTGTGGCGTAATCTCAGTGATGTGGTAAGACATGGACAGGCAGGTGAGAGACTTCCATCTCCTGTCCTGTTTTCCCTCCAGCTTTGACTTAACTACATCAGTGCTCTTGACAGCCTTTGACCAACACAAGATTACTTGTAGTCTCACACTACTTCTTTTCTTCCCCTTAATCTGCCTCATCATCTTTTCCCATCTCACAATAACTCATTTGTTAGCCTGAAGTCTTTTCATCTTAACCCAGGGACCTTGCAGCTGATATTTTTGCTGTGCTGTCTGCAACCTTTCTCATTTCAAGGGCAAACCTGCATTGTTACGTCTTAGCTAGACTGTTTATTTTGGGAAGATACTGATTTTGGCTCCACCTTACTTGGATGGTAAATAACTTATTTCATGTATTCTCTCATTCAGTTTTTCATCCTTATCTGTATTACCTGTTAGGTTCCAGACTCTCTCCTGGAGCTGAGAACGCAGTGGACTAGTAATCTGGCAGGGAGATAGACAAGTGCAAACAAATGCCTAAACAGTATAAGTCCTTTTAGCCCTGCTAGAGTGGAGCCATAATATGTACAAAAGGGATGTCATGATAGACAAGGGAGGGGCCGAGCTGCCTCCACATGGTTGGGTACTCTTGCCACACTAGCATCCTTAAGCAGGAGTTTTTCGAGGAAGAAGGAACATGTATATGAAGGCATGAGAAACCAGGTGTGTTAGAGAACTACAAATGGTTCAGTACCATGACATTTTCATATGGGGCAGGGTGTGATACCTACTGGCCTAATATGAATTGCAATTCTTTGGTTTCTTCTAGCCATCCCAGTGGAAATTGCTTCGACAGGAACTGTTGATGTACCTGGAATACTTCTTGATGGCTGTCATTAATGGGTGTCAGGTGACTGCCCCACCCAACAGGACTGAAGCCATGTGGGAAGATTTTATAACCTGCTTAAAGGATCAAGATCTGATATTTTCTTCAGCACTTGAGGCCCCGTCTTGCTACCTCTTAACGAAAACTGCCCTTTCTAGACCTTTGTTTTTGGTTTTAGATGACAACTTTTATTATCAAAGTATGCGATATGAAGTCTACCAGCTGGCACGGAAATGTAATTAAAACATTTTTTTTTTACATGTGGAGACATTTATTTACATATCAAAATCACTACTGTCTTCAGTGAGAATTTAACTGGATTAGGAGGTTTATATGAATTTACTTAACTTTAAAAGCTAACTGTTCAGTACTACAAGTGGAGTTTTTCCTACTGCAGTTGGCATAATATAATATATATTTATTTCATATTTTGGGAAAATAGTACACCAGTAATTTTGTGGTTTTTAAACTGTTTTCAGATTCGTTAGGCTTTTGCCAGGTCTTTTTAGATTGTCCTCTTGAGACCTGTTTGCAGAGGAATGGCCAGAGACCACGGGCACTGCCTGCTGAGACCATCCACCTGATGGGAAGAAAGATAGAAAAGCCCAACCCTGAGAAAAATGCTTGGGAACACAACAGTCTCATAATTCAGAATCTGCCATGTGCCTCGGAAGTCAGGTATTCAACTCAATGCTTTACCTGTAATGGTAAATTGATCTTCACACGGCTTTGGGAGAGATACTATTTCCTTCTTTGGATGGAAAACAAAACTGAAATGGGAACATGTAGTTTGTCCAGAATCACTAAACTTGTGACAGCTAAACTTGTGACGGGATTTGAACCCATGTTCGTTTGCAAGCATCTGTCTTAACTGTTAGGATTATACTGCCTTCCGGAGGCTGGAGCGGGGAATTCAGAGAACACATCTTTGATGCTCTTGCTAAAATAGTGTAGTCTAAGTAGATTGTCTGGGTAGTTTTTGTATATAAAGAAATATGTGGCAGAATAGAACTGATACCGGGTCCAGATTCACCTTAGAGCATGCCGTAGATACACGGCTTGAACATATGAGGCTTGTGGGCTGTGTTGTCTAACGCAGTGGTCCCCAGTGTTTTTGGCATCTGGGACTGGTTTTGTGGAAGACAATTTTTCCGTGAACGTGGGGGTGAGGGGAAGAGGAGGGGGAGATCTTCAGGCATTAGAGTCTCATAAGGAATGCCCCACCTAGATCCCTTACATGCACAATAGGGTTCACAATAAGGGTGTGCGCTCCTCTGAGAAGCTAATGTCGCCGCTGACTGGACAGAAGGTGGAGCTCCAACCACTCGCTGCTCACCTCCTGCTGTGCCCTGTTTGGGGACTCCTGATCTAAGCATTTCATTTGTGAAATATGTCATGAGAGTTCTAGAGCAGCACATTTCTAACAGAAATTTTACTGATGATGGAAATGTTCTGTATTTGGACTATCTGATATGGTAGACGTTAGCCATATTGAACTATTGACTGAGCACCTAAAAGTAGCTAGTGCAATTGATGACTTGAATTTATCATTTAATTTTAATCCATTTAAACTTAAATAGACTCACATGGCTAGTGGCTATTGTAATGGATAGCGCAGCTCGAAGTATATTGCCCACATTTTCTTAGTTCCTGTCTTTTGTCCTTGGGAGACTGGCAGTTTTTAAAAAGTTGAATTTTTAGCTCATTGCTCAAGTTTCCAGGGTATGGCTTCCATGCATTTAAAAAAATTAGCATACTAGAAGAACCCCCAAAAAACAAAAGTTGGAATCAGTAACTATTGTTTAGACAGTTTATGAAATAAACTACTGGTGAGGTTTCTGATTTTAACTTGTCTTAATATCCTGAAACTTTGAGCAAGCACATAAACCAGTTGATTGCTATTTTTTCTGGAGTACTTAAAATTGCCTCCTTCGGAAGTAAATGGCTAATTGAGACACTGAGACATCTCATGAGATTGGCATAAGGTCATCATCACTGCTCAGAGACCCATGAGAACCAGTCCTTGCTAGAAGCAAGGATAGTGTGAGCTGCTCTAGTGTCACGCCAGCCCTTACCATAATCTGTAGTTTTGTCTTGCTCTTGAGAACCTGGTCACCTGTGCTCGTATCCAAAATAGTCGTAGCGTAACCGTAAAGGGGGTCTGGTGATTCTGTTTGAAAGTTGAAAGATGATCTGATAAATGATCTTTCCCAGGCTTCCATGAAATAATAGCAACAGCTATTTAATGCATACCATGTACTGGTCATGTTTTGAAATTTAAATGTTTTGTTTTGTTTGGTCTGGGTTTGTTTTTTTTTTTTTTTTGAGTCAGACTCTCTGTCGCCCAGGCTGGAGTGCAGTGGTACACTCATGGCCACTGCAGCCTCAACCTGCTGGGTTCAGGTGATCCTTCCGCCTCAGTCTTCCAAGTAGCTGGAACCACAGGCATGCACCACCATGCCCGGCTAATTTTTTTATTTATTGTAGAGACAAGGCCTCACCAAATTGCCCAGGCTGGTCTCAAACCCATGGGCTCAGGCAATCCTCTCACCTTGGCCTCCCAAAGTGCTGGGATTACAGGCGTGAACCACTGCACCTGACTTGAAATGTAAATATTTATTTATAAGCTATAAATTTGTTATAAACTGTATTTATTTATAAACTGCAAATAAATAAAAGGATTAAAGAGTAAATTTATTTTTAACTGTAAAAACTATAGCTCATATTTTAACATTTTGTTAATTTAAGTTTTGGGTCACATTGGGAACGGTGTCTCTAGTTCCTTTTGAAATTCTTTTCCAGAATCTTCATAAGGTTATAGTTTCCTTAAAAAAGTATTTGCTATGCATTACCTCTTATGACTGTAGACAGAACAAAAGGGCATGGATATGAGAATTCTAAATAGTCACTAAGGCTCAAATTCTCTCTCAATTCTGAACACTTTATATGTATGGTCTTATTCCACCCTCACAATAATCCCTTAAGGGTAGAAACTATTATCCCCATCTTATAGATGGAATAACTGAGGCCTAGGTAAGTAATACATAAAGGGCAGAGCCAATATGTAGACCCGGTGTAGTCTCACACTTTTCAGTGTGAAAAAAATCATCTTGAGGTTGAGATTTAACTTGATAAGCTCACTGGCTTAGAATTTTTTAGTGCTACCCACGTGTTCTGAGTCAAATTCAAACTTCTTACCATAACTTACGTGTTCTAACCATCCCTGATTAACTCTCCAATTTCATATCCTACTGCTCTCCCTTTTTCAACCAAACCAGTACTCTCTGTTCCACGAACACAAGCAGCTTATTCTTGCCTCAGAGCCTTTTCACTTGCTGCCCTTCTCACTCGTTCACCCTTGACGGCCTCCACTGACCACCCTAACCAAAGTAAAGAATGTTATTTGGGCTTTCGAGTCACTCTTACCATTATCATTTTGCTTATTATCTTCACTCACTTATCCATTTATCACTGTCCGAAATTATTTTTTCGCACATGGAATCGATTTATCTATCTCTTCCCATTATGTTATCAGGCTTGAAGGAAGCAGGGATCTTGGTACACCCCTAGCTTAGCACAATTTCACACAGTTGTACAGTATTTTTCATATAAGACCATATTCAGTATTTGTTAAATGAATTTTACTTCAATCTTCCATGAAGAACTTTACTAATTGATGCTCAGTAAATAAGCGGAAGCAAGAAAGAAAAGACTGAGCATCTTTCCTTAGGGAATAAAATAGAGTTCTGGTAGCCTACAGTACAGCACCTTTTTTTTTTTTTGAGTGGGAGTCTCACTCTGTGTGCCAGGCAGTGCAATGGCACAATCATGGCTCACTGCAGCTTCAGCCTCCTGGGCTCAGGCAGTGCTTCTGCTTCAGCCTCCAAAGTAGTTGGGACTACAGGTGTGTGCCACCATGCCCAGCTGATAATTTTTTTTTTGCAGATAAAATATTTTGCTGTGTCACCTAGGCTGGTCTTGAACTCCAGGGCTCAAACAATCCTCTTGCCGTAGCCTCCCAAAGTACTGGGATTACAGGTAGGAGCCACAACGTCCGGTGGCTCAGCACTTAATAGGGGAAAAGGGAATGTCTTTTCAAAGCTTATTGACATGACTCCTTAATATTTCTTAAATGGGGCATTTGGGGCTTATAATTTGTTTTGAGCTACTACTCTGGATTTTACAAGTGGAAGGTAGCTCCTAAGTCATTTTAAGGGTCTTGGATTACAGCAGTTTTCTTTCTCTAGAATCCAACTCAGTGTTCATAAATGTAAGTTCTTTACAAACATGTTTGATGTAAGGATTACTTACTATATTTTATCCACTTTCTCTACAGTCTAGAGGTGACTGATTTATTGCTTATTGCTTTGGAAAATCCAGTCAAATATGCTGAGGATAACTTGGAACAAAAGGTAAGTCTTCCAATGTAGATTTAGTGTAAATGAGAAGGAACAACTTTTTGTAGGAAGATCTTTTTGAGCTGACTGTAAAATATGAGTAAAACATGAAAGATGTCTTGTCTCCGGCTTGGCATCTCCCCAACATTCACTGCTGGCTCCTGGCTGCAGTGGTGCTCTGCTAGCAGCTGGTGCCAGCTGGACACAATTGTTAAACTTTCAGAAATGTTAGAGCCTGTTGATGTTATGTTGGTAGCCTGAATTGGGAAAGGATGGGAATATTTACACCACAGAAATTGGCCAACACTACAGATAAGTTTGGGATTTGTTTTTTTCCTGAAGAACCAGTTACTAGACATTTACCAGCATGTCACCGCCTATATCAAACCAGTTAACAACTGGATCTAAGTCACCCAGACCCTCTCCTGGAGAAGAATGAATGAAAAAACACTTAAACTTTTATTTTAGTCCCTTCAAATACACATCACTTTTGCTTTAGCAATTTCTTTTATAAAACTATTACGACTGCTCCAATAACAATGTCTGTATTACATAGGAAACAGATAGAATTATTTGTTCAACTAACATGTTTCACAAAGCTGATCAGATACTCCGAAGAATTGTGTCTCACACAATGAAGGAAGCAAAAGGTATGTCATGTCAGTTATGTGTTTAACTGGTGTGGTAGTGACTTTCTCTTGTTACTCTTATTCCCTTGACACTCAAGCTTATTAGTTTCAGTCATAAAAGTTTACATTATGTTTTCAGTTTAAGTAAGCAATTTGAATAAATATAACTAAAAATTCTACCCCTGCAACTGAATATTCATCCATCCAGTAAATTTTTTTATTTTTTTTTTGAGTTGGAGTCTCACTCTGTCGCCCAGAACTGGAGTGCAGTGACCGCTCCTGGCCACCGCAGCCTCGACCTGCTGGGCTCCGGCGATCCTTCCACCTCAGCCTTCCAAGTAGCCAGAATTACAGGCATGCGCTTCCACACCCAGCTGATTTTTTGATTTATTACAGAGATGAGGTCTCGCTGCCCAGGCAGGTCTTGAGCCCGCGGGCTCAGGCAATCCACTCACCTCAGCCTCCCAAAGGCGCGGGATTACAGGCTGAGCCACTGAGCCCGGCCATCCAATAAATTTTTACTGAGGAGCTACTCTGTACGAGGCCTTATCTAGATGCTAGAGATCAGCAGGGAGCAAAACATTCTGGTGAAGAGACAAAAGAAATAATTACATGAATATATACTAGTGCTCTGAAAAAAAAGTAAGGAAAGGTAGTGTAGAGTGATGGGAGGATTTATTTTTTAAATGGTGGGAGGAAGGCTGCTCAGAGATGACATTTAAGCAAAGATGTATTCACATGTTTAAAGGAAGGGAAGGAGTAAACCATGCAGGTATCTGGAGTATCATTCCAGGCAGTGGATACAACAAGGGCAAAAGCCCAGAGATGGGTTGTTGGAATGTTCTAGAACAGAGAAGAGGCCATTGAGCATAGGGTGAAGGACATGGGAGAGGTAGGGGGCCAGGTGTAAGATCAGGATGGAGTTTGAGTAAACCTGAATGCATATAACAGATGAAGTAAGTGGCAGTTACAGTTTTATAAAATATTTTTTAGGTTTTGAATATTGAACTACTGCTATATTTAAAATCTGATTAAAAAAACAGGAGCTAGCATTTTTGAACACCTTTTTATGTTTATGCTTTTTATGCTTTACAAATATTGTAATCTTTACACTCTTATATACTACATGTAATTTTATATACTACATGTAATTTTACAAATGGGGAAATGGAGATTCCTCGAGGATCAAGCAACTTGCCCATGGCCGAACAGCTACTAAATATTGGGTAATCTGGGGTCCAGCGTTAAGTCTGATTTTAATCTGTGCATTCTATTATATTCCTTTGCATCATTAACATTTAATAACCTTACAAAAGCTTAGAATATTGGAAAAGGAAACTATATACTAGCCATATTGAGTTTTCAAACCTTTTAAAAATTATGATTCATAAGTAGATTTTGTATTGTAACCTAATATGTAACCCACTACATGAACTCACATGTGTGGAAAAACTTTCACAAAACACCCTCACATGTTTGATGAACTCTCCTGAGTTATATTTGATTTCATTGTAGAAAAACACTGGTTGCCACTAATAGGTTACAATCCAAAGTTTGAAAACAGAGCACTGGAACAGAAATGGCAGCATAATTTGAATAAAAACAAAAATCGTCCTGAGGGTTCTCACTCAACCATTTGCCTTTCTTCTGTCTATAAAGTGTTTTTTTTTTTTTTTGGTGGGGGGGGGGGGGGGGGGGTTTGGGTTATGCCCAAATCACTCTTATTTCCCATAAAGAAATATATACATATATATATATTTTTTTTCTTTTTTTGTTTTGGTGAGGGGACGTGGTACTAGATTCTAGATCTGTGCTTAATTAGAAATTTGGTTCCTCTACCATCAAGAAAGCAAAAAGGCAACCCACAGAGGGGAGAAGATATTTGCAAACATCTATCTCATACAGGGCACTTGTATCCAAAATATAGAAAGAACTCTTGCTGCTCAGTAATAAACACAACCTAATTTTTAAAATGGGCAAAGGATCTGAATACATTTCTCCAAGGAAGATATACAGATTGCCAATAACCACATGAAAACATGCTGAACATCATCGTAATGTCATCAGGGAAATACAAAAATACAAATCAAAGCCGTAATGAGATACCACTTCACACTTATTAGGATATTTGGAATTAAAAAGTGCCAGCGTGTTGAGGATGTGGAGAAGTCAGAGCCTTCATACGTTCTGGTGAGAATGTCACATGGTGCAGCTGCTTTGGAAAACAGCCTAGCAGTCCGTCCAACATAGACATGTGACCTAGCAATTCCATTCCTAGGTGTATACCCCAAAAAGAACATATGTTCACCCAAAAACGTGTACACAAATGTTTACAGAATCATTATTCATTATAGCCAAAAGAGGGAAACAACTCAAATGTCCATCAGCTGACAAATGGATACACAAAATTTGGAGTATCTACAGTGGAGTATTACTCAGCCATTAAAGGGAGTGGAATACTGATACATGTAATAACCTTGCAAACATGACACAAAGTGAAAAAAGTCAGTTAAAAGGCCACTTATTATATGCTTCCAGTCATATGAAATGTCCAGAACAAGGAAGCCTTGAGACAGAAAGATTAGTAGATGCCCTGGGATTGGGGATGGGTTCAGGGGACAGTGGTAGGAGGATAATAGCTAAAGGATATAGGTTTTTCAGCACTTTGGAAGGTTGAGGTGGGAAGACTGCTTGAGCCCAGGAGTTTGAGACCAGCCTAGGCAACATAGCAAGATTCATCTCTACAAAAAATCAAAACATTAAGCCGGGCATGGTGGCTCACACCTCTAATCCCAGCACTCTGGAAGGCTGAGGCAGAGGACTGCCTAAGCCCACAGGTTTGAGACTGGCATGGGCAACATGGTGAGACCTTGTTTCTAGTCAAAAAAAATTAGCTGGGCGTGGCGATGCACACCTGTACATCCAGCTACTTGGAAGGCTGAAGTGGAAGGATTACCTGAGCCCAGGAGATCAAGGCTGCAGTGGCCATGAGCATGCCACTGCACTCCAGCCTGGGCTACAGAGTGAGACTCCAACTCAAAAAAAAAAATTAGCTGAGTGTGATGGTGCATGCCTGTTGTCCCCGTTACTCAGGAGACTGAGGTAGAAGGATTGCCTGAGCCCAGGAGGTCGAAGCTGCAGTGAGCCGTGATCATGCCCCTTGACTTCAGTCTGGGTGACAGAGAACCTGAATTAAAAAAAAAAAAAAAAAGATATAGATTTTTGAGATGATGAAAATGTTCTTAAGCTAACTGTGCACATATCAGTGAATATACTAAAAACCATTGTATTATAGATTAAATAGGTAAATTATATGGTATAGGAATCATATCCTAATAAAGCTAACAAAAAAGTAAAAATTCAGTTTCTCAATTACTCTCTCCACATATGGCTAGTGGCTGCTTATTGAATAAACATTTCCATTATTATAGAAAGTTATGTTGAACTGCTGTTCTATATATTATCAGTTTCAAATCTAAATCGCTGCTTTTTTGCCTTTCTACTTATTAGTTTTTACTTGAGGTAGTGAGTCAGCAATCTTGGTTCTTGGCAACAACAAAAAAGTCCCTGTCAGGTTTGTCTTTTCTGCATAGGTATTTCATAGCAAGTTAATTAAATTCTTTGAACTGTTTCAGATGACTGCTGCAAATCACATTAACATGACCTTTTGTCTATATACTACACCAACTCAGTTGTGATTATTAGTTTGTCTAAAGTAATCAATTAATTTCCTACTGTCATTAGACAACCCAGATTGCTTAACTTACACAAGTAATTTGAGAATATCTTTTTATTTTAGATGAACAAGTGCTTCCTTACAACTTGAAGCTTCTAGCAGCAGAACTTAACAAGCTCAAAGCAGAGTTTTTGGAAGACCTAAGACAAGGAAACAAAAAATATCTGTGCTCTCAACAAACCATTGATATATCAGATGTCATTTCTTTTTTTCATTATGAGAAAGATAATATTGTACAGAAGTATATTTCAAAGCAGCATTAAAATTTCTGAATTTTCAATAGTGTCTGATCTTGATAAGCTTTGACAAACTAGTCAAAACAACAACTTTATATTACTGTTTTTTAGGCCAATAATGTACATTGCCAAAAGCCATTCTTTTTTCAAAAGAAAAAAATCAGCCCATGTTAAAGGATCCATTTGTCATAACAGAAATTATAATACTTCAGTCAGTCCCTTGTCGATGTGACATGGATAATTAAGCACAGAGGCAGCAGTCCTCATTTATGTGCCAGAACGCTTAGGGGACAGACGTCAAATGGATCTTGAATAAAGAGAAGAAACTAGGAAGGAGACAAGCTGCAGCTGTATGGAGCTGTTTTTTAACTCATGATTTTTAACTCATGATAGATCTTCTTGGGTGTAAGGTATTTTAGAAACTCAAAGCACTGTAGCCATAGTATCTATTGTTTGTATTAACTTAACATTTTACTAGCAGAAAATTACTAAAATACTAATTTAATCACTTAAAAAAAAATCAAGGTCATTAGAAAGTGTTATTTTTTTATTCATATATTACAAAAAGCAAAGCTTCATTCACAATATGAACTACACACTAGATAAAGTTATTTCAGCATTAAACTGCTTTTTGGAATCCCTAAACAATATAGTGTATTTTACAACCATAATGCAAGTTATAGCTTTTGCATACAAAATATGTTCTTTACATCAAATTACATATTAAAGAAAATGAGTTTTAGAAAGTATATACCCTCTAAGACTAATGAAAAAAGTCTTTAGCAGGGAATTTTTTAAAAATGTTCAATAACATTCATTTGATAAATATTTTTGTAAAACTAAAAATGAGGTTTATCTCTGAATATTTTTTGTAATATTCTCTTTGTCAAACAATTTTGCAGATGAATAGTGAACACATTTCTAAAATGAAACAGCACTGGCAATATCCAATGGAATTTTTTCAAAGTAAAAGTCTAGCTTTTACTTGAATTTCAAGAAGTTGTAGCTCATACTACATTAGTAAAATCTGAAATAAAGTTATTCCCTGTTAATCTGTTCACAGTTTCTTAAAAAAATATTAGTGGAGATAAATTATCTACGAGCTATAAAAATCTAAACTTATGTTCACTGAACAAAAATAAATTTAGTTTCAGAACACTGCCTGTTAATGGCAAAGTACTATAAATAGTGAATGTTAAACTTTTCCCAAAAACTCATTTCTATAAAATATTTGATTAAAAATGACAGAAACATATTCAATACATAAAGGAAGATTGGAACATCTTTCCAAATAAAGAATTTAACTCAGAAAACTTAAATAAAATCCTAAATCTTTTAAAAAATACAATACTAAAAACGTTTCTAAGGTATATTTCCCTCGAAATTTTAGTGCATTTAGAATAATTGTAGCTTTTAAGCATTGACACCTTTGGGATACCAACTGTGCTCTTTAAGTAATTAAAAAAATAGAATTTTATATTCTATTTTGTAATTATGAAAAAAATTTTCCATGTTTAAATTAAAATACACCTTAAAATCATCCATCTCTAGTTATTAGAAAAAATATATTTGGCCCAGAATATAGAGTTAATAAGCTGGTTTTAATAAGATAGTTCTTTCTCTGTTTAATGAAAATTTTCCATTTTGGGGATATTGCTTTTATTTGAATAATAGAAGGAAAAAAATAACAAAAACTTCCAAATGACAACCTGTTTCTTTTCTGGCGGTTCATAAATACTAGGGGGTCAAGTTATACATCTGGAAATTGCTGCAGTAAAATAAAATGGATCTGAGCAGTGAGTGATTTAAGCAACAGAGTAAAGTAGAATTGCAAAATTTTGGATTCACAAGATTTGACAAAAAGAGTTCCAGTTTGGAGAAACTGTCCTTGATGCTGCTCTTTAAAAAATGCAGTAGCTTAGGATGGACACTAAACCACAAGAATTCATTACAATGGCTTTCTAGCATTTGGAAGGGAGGGCAGAGGATCCATTAGCTTGGCACTTGGGGTTTTTGTGGGCATATACTACCAGTAATTCCCTTCTATTTACTATAAGAATAGAGGACCTTTTGGTTATTAGATGCTTAATAGTTAGGCTAGTCTCTTTAAGAAGCCAATTAGGAGCACATTCATGATATGAACCAAACAAAAAGTAAAATTTTTGCAAAGTACACAGAAACCAAGTTAGTAACAATATATTTTATTGTTTGACCAAGCTCTCTTCAAAGCTAGTTAGTACACAATATAAAAAACAAGTCTCCTAGTCAAAATGAATTACTCTAGATTTACTTAGTCTTATTTTTATAAACAAATTAAGTATCATGTTTAAATACATTTTACATTCATTTTCATACCTTTTTATCCTTTCCTACTAAGGTAATGATTCAATCAGTTTCCATATAGTTTTGTCACTGTACTTGAAGTAAAACTGCAAATAAAAAAATTTGAATCCACAGAAAATATTTTAAATGGCCAATTCGGAAAAGAAGACCAGAATTCATTTTGGACACATCCTCATTTTTATAAATATGAATGCACCATCACATTTTCCCACGTGTTTCTATACCCACCTTGTTTTGGAATTTATGGACAACAATGGATAGAGGGCAGGAAAAGGAATTTTCAGAGATTTTTTTAGGAATTGCATTTTAATAATAAGATGAATGACTTCCACCATACCTCTTTGGTCATCAAAGGAACAGGAAGAATAACAGATTCTCACTATAGTTATCAACCTTTCCTGACATGAATAATGTCAGAATGCAGGATTTACATGAAAGGTTCCAACAGAGAAAACAAGGCATTTAGCATTCTAGTGTATTTACCTGTGGTTTTTAAGAACCATCTGGAAATTATAATAAAGATGCAATGCAAAACTGACATGTTTAAACTAGAAATTGAATAAACATATTTTAAATGTTAAACACAATTTTCGATTTAAAGTCAAGTTTCATTTCTTTTCAGGACTTTCACCTCATATGTTTATAAGAACTATTTTACATTTCCCCTTGTGGAAAGAGGAAAACTTACTACACTGAAATAGCTTTACTATTATCAGTTGAAATGAAACTACTCATTCATCTTAAGATATGTGAACTAAATAGTACTTCAATTAAGAGTGATTTTTAAGGCAATTTCTTTACTAAATACTGAAATAAGTTGTAACAGATTATGTAAGAGAAAATAATTTATTGTATCATTTTTTAAATATGGCAGAAATAACATATAGCTCAATGTATACTGAAATATCAAAAGTATGAATAAGCCTTGAAGTTCTTATGGACCATAAAGGTGAGAAATTTAAATGAACACCTATAAAATTATGATTGCACTCCAATTCTCAAATGCCTAAATGAAGAAAAAAGCGACACCAATATGTCTAGCTGTTCTAATATATAAATGACCCTAACCAGAATTTTATGAAAAAAATGGGAAAATTTTATTTCCATTGTCAAATTCATGTTCTATAAATGTAATGTCTAAACTTCAAATTAGCAGATACCTTATTAGGGATGACAAAAAAACCCCACAAAACACAAAAAGGCAAAAACCAAGTAAAACATAATATGAATATTTTCAATCAGTGTTGGTTATGTTGCCCTCTTGCAAAATGACAGGCAAAATCATACTTGTTTTTACATTTGCATCCACATATATTACACTGAAATGGATTTTCATACCCATGGCATCCCATATGAATAGTGTAAAGGATATTGTCTGCAAAGTACATATCACAGTGCTGGCAGTGGTGCAGAAGCTGAGGGTCCTGGACTGGCAGGGCTGGGGCCGGAGTGCTTGGTTGGCTGTTTCCTATGCTAGGAGTGCTTGTATGTGCACTTGGCTCACTGCTTGGACCCGCCACTGGACTATAGTTCCTTTGACTATGTGATGGCCGGGGTTCAGGGCTTGTGGGAGAGGAGCTCTGAGGAATACTTGCTGACACGGCAGAAACTACTGCTTGGGCAGAGGGCTGCTGAATCATGAAAGGCTTTTCATCAGCGCAGGGAACTACATCAGGGGATGCAGGGTTTTGGTTTTCAGGTGGCAAACTGGACAACTGTCCTGCTAGAGTTGAGAGCTGATTCAAAGGGTTGTCAACCATGAGTTCTTGGGGGTCCCTTGGAAGGCCACCAGTTGGTGTGGTTTTCGCCATACTTTCATAGGAGTCAGGTTGGATATTTGGGATTTCATGGGTAAAATCATTAAGGTAGTCTGGTTTCTGAACCACCATGGAAGGTGGACTCAAGTTGATTAGTGCTCTTCTGCTATAGCCCAGATTGCCTGTTTTCTTCTGTAAAACCCCCCACATTTTCTTGCTACTTAAGGAAGACCTAGTACCTTTAATTGGTACCATTTTATGCTTGCGCCTTCGATGATGGGACAGGTTACTTCGATCACTGCAGCGAAAGGAACATAATTCACATTTGTATGGTTTTTCTCCAGTATGAGAACGCATATGGGCTTCCAGATGACGCTCGTAAGCAGATGCAAATGGACATAGGTGACATCGATGAGGTTTCTCACCTGTTTCAAAAGACAAATGAGGAGGAGACTGCAGGAATAGATTATTTATGCAAAGTTTCACGTTTGCTCACTCATTGGATTTGGAAAATGATTTTAAAAATGTTTTTAAGCCGGGCTCAGTGGCTCAGCCTGTAATCCCGTGCTTTGGGAGGCTGAGATGAGTAAACTGCCTGAGCCCACGGGTTCGAGACCCGCCTGGGCAACTTGGCAAGACCTCATCTCTACAATAATCAAAAAATGAGCTGGGCATGGTAGCACGCGCCTGTAGTTCCAGCTACTTGGAAGGCTGAGGCGGAAGGATTGCCAGAGCCCAGCAGGTCGAGGCTGTGGTAGCCAGGAGTGGCTACTGCACTCCGGTCTGGGTGACAGAGTGAGACTCCAACTCAAAAAAAAAAAAAAGGTTTTTAAGAAATTCACATTTGCTTAAGAGATTATTAAAATTTGTAAAGAAACCCACAAGCTGAAATAAAGCTTAAGAACTCATCAGCGACAATTTGAGATATGCATCTATATTCTATTAGTCAATGTAGAAATTGAGTACAGAAATTGAGGCCAGGTATGGTGGCTCATACCTGTAATCTCAGCACATTGGACATCCAAGGCAGGAGGATCGTTTGAGGCCAGGAGTTTGAGAACAGCCTGGGCAACATAATGATACCCTGTCTCTATTTAAAAATATAAGTAAGAAAAGAATATAGTAATTGAAAAATTGTTATGGCTTCAACTGGCATTTGAAGAAAGATGAAATACAGAAATAGTAATATTCTAGTAATAGTCTCTACATAATCATGATATTATCAAAAGAAGTCTCAGAGTTGTATGTTCACATATACATCTATACACCAACACATGCATATTATCACATATATGCATATACCTTAAAAATACAAAAAAGAAAGCTTTTTTTAGAAAGTCCTTATAAGAAATAGAAAGCTCAAAATCGAAATGAGCTTCCTAGGCCAGGTATGAGTTATACAAAGTGTCCCTTCAAAATTGTCAGTATGTCCTCCATTTTCCTACTTGTCAGCTGCCAGAAGGAACAATTTTAGTTAATGCTGTTAACTGAAGACCCAAATATGCAAAATAAAACATTTGGAATATGAGACATAGAGTCATTCATCTAATAAGTATGTGCCAGATGCCCTGCTAGGCTCTGGGGTACGAAGATAGTCTCGTCATAATCCCTGTCCTCAAGAGGCTCTCAGGCCACAATGATGTAATGAATTGAGCACAAGATGCCATGACAAGAAGGATATCTGACCAGGTCTTGGGCAGGGACAGGGTGTAGTTTGGAAAGTTTCTTAGGAGAAGGGAGGGCTAAGGTGAGACCTGGGATTAGCAGTACAGCCTGCAGCTGTATAGAAACTTTCCCTCCTTTCTATAGTTGGAACATAAGAGTGAAGATACAGATAAAAATACTTCATCACTTCATCCTGCTTTTAGCATTAGCCTTCCCAACCTGAGAAGCAGACGGATGTTGAGAGATGGCATGAATCAAGAAGGAAAAGGGCTAAGGAAGGAGCAGCTCTCTGCAAGGGGCTTCACTTCTCACCACTTTGTATGTTGCTTTGTAAAAATGAAGGAACTTGCCCATTTATTCAAACCTTACATCAACCTTCATTTTTGAACAATCATAACTATCTATGGGACAAACCGACCTGCTCTCTTTGGCCTCTTTCCTGCCCTCAAAGAAATGCTTTCTCCAGCTGTTTCTCCCTTACCTGTGTGGATTCTAATATGTTCAATAAGCCGGGCTGTTCCTTTGCTGGCATAGTTACAGTACCGACACTTGAGCTTCCCATCAAACGTCCTTTCAAACCCGTCTACTAACATTCCTGAGTTTTCATCCAGGGAAACTTCAACAGATGGGTGATCAAGTCCATTTTGGTCACCGTCTGTTCCAGCTATAAACAAAGTATAGCAGAAGAAATTATGCATCTCAGAATCAACTCAATTTAGCATCTTAGTCTTCAGTGGTTGAAAATCTTTCATAAATTGATAGTCCACTTCCCAAAAAGTTAAATTCATTTTATAACAGACTTTCTGAACTGAGGCTAATTTTAAAGAAAAACAAATATATTCTGAAAATCTTTTATAGGAGGGACCTCAAATTATTTACACATAAATTGTATCAGTCTTCAACATGCTTTTGAAGAAGTGAACAGGTATGGAGAGAGGGGAATAAAGAGATTTACTGAGAGTGATGGCACAGTTTACACACAGGTGTTTAATACCATAGCCACTGCTACAATTGTAACTGACAGTCAAATCATCTCCAAGACCCTAATTCTACTTACTGTAGTCTAAAGCAATTAATATGTCTTCTATTGTCCCACCTTTATACATATGTTCTAGATTCTGGGTTACATTTAGGATCTCAAAGTTCTAATTAAACACATAAAGTACTCTCTCTGATACCTCTGAATGTAAAGACTATAAGTATTTCAGAGCTAAAAGATGTTTGTTTGGCTGTCTGATTTTTATCTGACTACTACTTTGTATAGATAAAGAAACTGAAAGGACAGGTGCTCATAATCAGGAAAACCAACAAACAGCTGGGACTGTAACCCTGGTCTCTTGAATTCAGTTTGGGAACATATGCACTAGTGTTAGGAGGGAAATTTTTATACCTATAGCTTTATGGGAAAAGGTCTTCTACTCCATCTCAAGAGGTAGCAGTGCTGGTGTGCATAATTCAAGCCCCCTGACTCACTGCTTCCTCTGCTCCTCACTAGAGAAGAGAAGTGACTTTGCTGGTTAGGACAAGGCCAATATCCAATAGGGCCACTGCATTGGAAGGATGAGGCTTAGTCTCTCTCACTCTCTCCCCCATTGCTTTCCCAAGCTAATGACTCTCAAATTTTAATGTGTACATGAATTACTTGGGGGGAGGATTGAGGGTCCTTACTAAAACACAGATTATGATTCAGTTGATGTGGGGTGGGGGCTGGCATTCTGCATTTCTAACAAGCTCCCAGGTTGATGCCTGGTCCCTGCTGCCAGTCCGTGGATTATAAGGAGGACCTACCTAGACCACCTAGTCAGAAAACTTTTTCTATAGGTGTGAGACATTAAATACATATTTCAGTCTTTGTGGGCCACATGATCTCTAGGACACCTCTGCTGTTTTAGCAAAAAAAAACCCCAGCTATACAAAATATATAAACAGGCTGAGCTGTGGCTTATGCTTGTAATCCCAACACTTTGGGAGGCCAAAGTGGGATGATCACTTGAGGACAATCTTGGGCAACACAGTGAGACCCTATCTCTACAAAAATTTAAAAAATTAGCCAGACACGGTGGTGCACAGTTATAGCACTCAGGGGCTGAGGTGGGAAGACCCCTTGAGCCAAGGAGTTCTGGGTTACAGTGAACTATGCCTGTGCCACTGCACTCCAGCCTGGGCAACAAAGCAAGGCCTTGTCTTGGAAAAAAAAAGGTAAACAAATGAACATGTCTGTGTTCCAATTAAACTTTATTTGTGGAGATTGAAGTTTGAATTTCATAGAATTTTCATGTAGCATAACATTATTCTCCTTCTGACATTTTTACAACTATTTTTAAATGTAAAAGTCAGCTGGGCACGGTGGCTCGCACCTGTAATCCCAGCACTTTGGAAGGTGAGAGGATTGCCTGAACCCACGGATTCCAGACCAGCCTGGGCAACTTGGCAAGACCCCATCTATACAATAAATCAAAAAATCAGCCGGGCATGGTGGCACATGCCTGTAGTTTCAGCTACTTGGAAGGCTGAGGTAGAAGAATCACCTGAGCCCAGCAGGTCAAGACTGTGACGGCCATGAGTGTGCGACTACACTCCAGCCGGAGTGACAGCCAGACTCCAACTCAAAAAAGCAAAAAAAAAGTGAAAACCATTCTTAGCTTGCAGGCCATACAAAAACAGTAGTCTAGATGAGGCCACAGGATATAGTCTGCTGACCCCAAGCTAAGTGAGGAATAAATTCCAGTTTTTGTGTGGCAAGCAGAGTAAACAAAATTTACTTGTTGGCTCAAGCAGATCACTGCTTTTGCTATTTGAGTTTCTCTTCTTGGATGGGTAAACTCAGTCAGCCCTTTCTTCATTTTAAGAGGGAAGACTGGTCTCAGATCTAATCCAGATTTACTGGTGGCTGACTTGTTTAATGAAGTTAATATTTTGTTCCTTGTTGGGGTCCTTGAGTCTAGTGTTAGCTCAGAACCCAGCGGACTGGAAGGGTGCCTAGAACCCCTAACCTTCCAACAAGACCATAATGCATCTCTAGACCATATTAAGCATGATCCCTCAGCAAAGGTCTGACATGTTTAAATCAGGGGAAAAAAGTCCTATATCTTTCTAGAAAAAAACTGAACGCTTCACATTAGTGAGTAGTGGTCTTCATAGTATGGATAACTATATGCAAATAATACTTTTATAAAAAACGAATTATTTAATAGTATTAAAGATGACTCTACCTCCCTGAAGAGCCTCTGCTTCTTTGTCCCCACTGACTGATCCAGAAATCATGTTCACATGATGGGTCTGCTGAGTCAGGTATTCCTGAAAATCTTTCACGAAGTCCAAAGGCTCTGGTTTCTTTTCACCCATCTTTGCTTTTTTTAAAGTTTACAGTTCGTTATGCCTAGAAAAAATAAACTGAAATAATTTCACACTTTTTAGGGAGATGTAGTACATAGTGAAACAACAGTAACAAAAACTATGTTGTGCAAGACACTATAGAAAAGATACAACAGAAAACATACACAAAATGGTGAAAAATCAGTATCTTCAATAACTAAATATAAATTGGGATTCACACTTAGTCATAGAAAACAGAAAGAAATTACAAATGCAGGAAAAAACAAAAGACGTTCAGATGAAATGTAGCTAATACAAATGATCTGAGTTTTTTATTTTATTTAATTAATTTAAATTGAAATAGCTGCATGTGGCAAGTGCCTACCAGCAAAGGCTCTTAGATCATATTATTTACATGAATCTAGATGCAATTACTCAACTCTGTCACTGTAACTAAAAAGCAGCCATAGACAGATGTGTGTGGCTGTATTCCAATAAAACTTTAAATACAGGCATTGAGCCAGATTTGGCTTACAGGGCACAGCTTCCCAACCCCTGCTCTAGAAATACCAAAATCACCACCTCTACCACCCATCATCCTACCCACTCCAAGTATGGAAAAAAAGGGAAAAACAAACTAACACACAGCTGGTGTAGAGAGGGGAAGTTTCTTGTAAGTTTTGCAATAACAAGGACCTCATATAGGCTTATGGCCCATAATCACAAATCAAATAACCAAGAAGTTTCCGGGTAAGAACAAGATGAGGAAGTCTAATACCTGGGAGACAAAAGGTCCTTTCTTCCAGTAAAAATACTTCGTGTAAATAAATATGATCCTCCTTTAAATACAATTTATGGTAAAAATTATTTTTCTAATCTCAAACTATGCGATGAGTTTTGCAATCTAAAGTTTTCACCTTTAATAGTCAGTAGTAGGCATCCAAAGTTAAAAAATTGCTACAGCCAGGTGTGGTGGCTCACACCTGTAATCCCAGCACTTTGGGAAGTCAAGGCAAGCGGAATACTTGCACCCAAGAGTTTGAGACCAGCATGAGCAACATAGCGAAGCCTTACCTCTGTAAAAAAAACCAAAAAATTTTCCCATCGTGATGGCACACACTTGTAGTCCCAGCTACTCAGAAGGCTGAGGCAGGATGATCACTTGAGCCCAGCAGTTAAAGACTATAGATGAGCTATGAATGTGCCACTGTACTCCAGTCTGGGCGACAGAGTGAGCCTCTCAACTTAAAAAAAAAAAAGTATTCACTTTTCAGTATATATGCTTAACTTTTTCTTGAAGTCTCACGTACACACAGAAAAGCACAAAAATCTAAGGGTGGCACTCAATGAGTTGTTACAAGGTGAACACATCCATGAAATTAGCACCAAGATCGAGAAATAGAAGGCTGCCAGTACCCTAGGAGCCCTCTTATATACTCTTCAAATACTAGGGGTTACCAGTATCCTGACTTCTGACTCTGTGGATATTTTGTCTGTCCTTCAACTTTAGTTAAATGGAATCATACACTATGAACCTTTGTCTGGCTTGTCATTCAACACTGTAATTTTAAGATTAATATAATTTTAATCTATAGGGTTGCATGCAGCCGAAGTTGGCTCATTTTCATTGCTATATAATTCATTGTGTGACTAAACCACAACTAGTTTCTCTAGTCTACTGTTTTTAGGTCATTTGGATAAATTCCAGTATTTGGCAGTTGTTTCTATGAACATATAAATTACATGTATTTTGGTTAACTATGTACACATTTCTGTTGGATGTATAGGAGTGAAACTGCTGGATCAAATGGCATGTATATATTCAGTTTTACATAATGCCAAATCGTTTTTCATAGTGATTATACCAGGTTACATTCTTACTAGCAGTTAACAAGAGTTCTGCTGCTCCATGTCCTAACCAACGCTTGTGTATTTTTTTTTTTCATTTTAGCCTATCTTGTGGGTGTGTGGTGGGGTATCACACTAGTTTTAATTTATATTCCTTGATGATTATTGTAGTTGTATTTTTTAATATGTTAATTAGTCATTTAGATACCCTCTTTTGTGAAATGTCTGCTCAAATCTTTTGCTTATTTTTCTCCTAAGTGATCTTTTGCTAATTAATATGTAAGAGTGTTTTATAATAGTCTAGATATGAATCCTCTATTAGATGTGTATTTTAAGTATCTTCTCCCACTCTGGTTGCCTTTTCACTTGCTTAAAGGTAACTTTTGATGTACATAAGTTCTCAATATGGTCCAGCTTACCCATTCTCCTTTACATTTAGAGTTGTATATGTCCTTTTTAAGAAATCTTTGCCAACATCTTACTTAAAGACGTTCCCTTATATTTTCTTCTAAAAGCTTTTTGGTTTTTATTTTTCAACCTTTCATATTTTTATCTGGAATTGAGTTTTGTGTATGGTGTAAAGTAACAGTCAAAGCATACTATTTTCCAAGGAGATAACCAACTGTCCCAGCAATGTGCATCTAACAGACCAGTCTTTCTTGACTAAGCTCCAGCACCTCCTTTCTAAATCAGGTGGTTTTATACATTTATATATATACATGTATGTATGTATGTATGTATGTATGTATGTGTGTGTGTGTGTGTTTGTGAGAGAGAATGATACATACACACACAGAGCTGTTTCTGGATTCTCTATTCTGTTCCACTAGCCTAACTGTCCATGCAGCCATACCATACAGTCTTAATAATAAATCTTAATATCGCAGTAATTTAAATCCCCTAGCTTTGCTTTTGTTCTTCAAGAATGGATTGTTCTTGGTCCTTTTCAGCCAAAGATTTTAAATGGCAGGACTATGGGGTTGAGGAATGAGGGGATTCCATAAAAAGTGCATTTTTTAATTTACAATAACTTTTACCTACTTTTTAATAATCAAAACTTTGACTTCACCAGACTTAACTAAAAATTTAATGGAACCAGACCAAGCCTTTACTACTATGAATCATTAGACTTTATAACAACTTAACTAATGAAGAACACAGGGCTGTTTTTGCTTTCCTTAACATTTCCTAGTCACAGACTGATATATTTTCATACTTCTTGTCTTCCTTTCTCCTTACATCTAATCTGTTCTTTATGCTGAACGTATTTAGCTAAACAAGGACCTGCAGGTAACTTAATTCTTACTTTTCTTTAATGCAACATTTGTGAATAGTTCCTTTCCTACCTTCTTAGACGCTACCTAGGGCTTTTAAAAGTTATTTGAGACCGGGCTCGGTGGCTCAGCCTGTAATCCTAGCACTTTGAAAGGCTGAGGCAAATGGGCTGCTTGAGCCCGCAGGTTCGAGACCAGTCCGGGCAACTTGGCAAGACCTCATCTCTACAATAAATAAAAAATTAGCCGGGTGTGGTGGCGTGCCTGTAGTTCTGGCTACTTGGAAGGCTGAGGCAGAAGGATCATGGGAGCCCAGCAGGTCAATGCTGGGGTGGTTATGAGTGTGCCACTGCACTCCAACCTGGGCGACAGAGTGAGACTCCAACCAAAAAAAAAAAATTATTTCTATTACTGTCTCTTTTCACTGTTTTCTAGTAAACTGGGGCTACTAAAAGTCTATCCTCTGGGTAAATAGAATACAGTCTGTATCTGCGGGTTCCACATCTGTTGATTGAACCATTCGCAAATCAAAATATTCAGAAAAAATGGAGGTTGCAACTGCAGTAAACATGTACAGACCTTTCTTCTTGTCATTATTGCTTAAAGTATAACAACTATTTACATAGCATTTATACTGTATTAGATATTAAAAATAATCTAGAGATGAGTTAAATATATGGGAGAATGAACATGTAGGCTATATACAAATACTACACATTTTACATTTAGGACTTACACATCCACAAATTTTGGTATCTGAAAGGGATCCCAGAACCAATCAATCCCCCACTGGATACTGACAGACAACTATATTTTGATATTAGGTCAAACTCACCAGGAGGGGCCTCTCACAGCCTTAGTTTCCTATTTTGTAAAATGGGATAATAATACCATCTTGCAGTACTATCTTAAGTTTTATAGGTAAATATACATAAAGTTTTTTGTAACATGTGTAACATATGGTAGGCTCCCAGACAATGATAGTAGCTGTTTTTCTAATGATTATTTTTGCAGTAAAAAATGGTTATAACTTGGATTAAAAAATTCCTCACTGTCCCAGATTCAGTTTTTCCCCTTTCTACCAGCTCATCAACTTGTTTGGAGAATATACTGAGTATTTATTTGTTCCTTAGTTACAACAAAACAAACACGTTCTATCTTAATCTCATTAATTCATATATCTCAATTTACAATTTCTCAACTCATCTCTTCTTATTTTACTTTTAGGCTACTTCTTAAAGTTACTTGCTTTAGTCTAGCTCAACTTTCCCAATAAGAAAGAATTATCAAGAATAAGATTGTATAAAGGCTGTAAGGTCCTGTAGATTGTCTGTGTTCTAATTATAAATAATGTAATTAAGAAAAAAATCCCAGTATTTACATATCGACTTAGCACCACTTCTTGTCAATCAGTTTACATGAAAACTGATACATTTTCATTGGAAAATGTCTGAATATACTTTGACATGCTTCAGTAAGCAAGATAAACCTTACCAAATCTTGATTAGAAAGCATAACACTGCTACAGTACAACATGTGACAGTGCAATAAAAACACACAAGGCTGCCAGTAAGTTAGCAGAAGAAAATGATATTTTTAGACATGCACCTCAAGTTTAAGAACACAAATGAGCCTAATTACAGAGGATGGCTGGCATATTTTGACAGCCTTGGCTATTATCACATTGTCACATTACAAATTTCACCGTGTTCCCTGCCATAAATTGTATGTTGCCTTTCAGTCATAATCCATGAAGAACTAAAAAAAAAGGATGCCAATGAAATAGGGACGATAAATATTGTAACATTGCTAACATGAAAGAAAACTATTCTTAATTAGAATTTTAAATGTGTTAATATAGCTTATAATTTTAAGCCCCCAATCACCAACAACTCAGGAGGCTGAGGCAGGAGGGTCACTTGAGCCCAGGAGCCTGAGACCAGCCTGGGCAACATAGTGAAACCCCAATTCTACAAAAAAATAAACAATTAGCCAGGCATGGTGGCTTGCACCTGTAGTGCCAGTTACACAGGAGGCTGAGGCAAGAGGATCATTTGAGTCCAGGAGGTCAAGACTGCAGGGAAGTATAATGGGGCCACAGCACTCTAGCCTGGGTGACAACAACAGTACCACAAAAGATAAAAATAAGTGTCACTTCATCCTAAGCACTTTTGTGCCCCCTTGTCCTGTACCACCTCTATCATGTATCCATATACAAGGGTATGACAGGCCCTTAAAGAGCCTGAGTCAGTGGAACAGACCCATATGAATGAAAGGTGTCCAAAGCTAAATAGAGTCTTAGGCTCAAAACCCAGCTTTCTACATCTGAAGACATATTTCTTGAGTACCATAAATGGAAGGAAAAAAAATCCAAAACCACAAAAGACTCCCTATTATCAAAAGAAAATAAAGGTTTTCTACCCAAGCCATTTTCTTGCCTTTGATAGAATAATCATTAGTTTCAAGACTGAAAGTTTAATCTAAGGATTCCACAAATAAACTGATACCTGTAGATGCCTCAAAGGCACTGATAAATTTTAAAACTTTTGCAAACATAACAAATATACTTTAGAAAATCCACAAACTCAGTTTCCTACTGTCATAAACTCATCTTAGAGCTTGTTAGATAACAGATAACTTACTTTACACAGAGTTTCAATGCATAAAATCATGTCAGCTGAAAAAGATATCTATTTAAGCATTCTCCAATATTATCATAGATTTCAGTGGTGTTATTCCAACTCAGATATACTCCTTCTGCTAACTAATATTAGCCATGTTTGTATCCCTCAAAACTTGTAAATCGAAATTCTAACCTCTGATGCTATAATATTTGAAGGTGGGACTTTTGGGAGGTAATTAGGTTATGAGCATGAAGCCCTCTGAATGGGATTAGTGTCCTCATTTTTTAAAAAAAGACCAGGCTCGGTGGCTCAGCCTGTAATCTCAGCGCTTTGGGAGGCCAACGTGAGTGGATTGCCTGAGCCCGCAGGTTCATGACCGCCTGGGTAACTTGGCAAGACTTCATCTCTACCATAAAAAAATTAAAAATAGCCGGGCGTGGTAGCGTGCGCCTGTAGTTCCAGCTACTTGGAAGGCTGAAGCAGAAGGATTGCCGGAGCCCAGCAGGTCGAGGCTGCAGTGGCTGGGAGAGGCCACTGAACTCCAGTCTGGGTAACAGAGTGAGACTCCAACTCAAAAAAAAAGAGCTGGGCTCGGTGGCTCAGTCTGTAATCCTGTACCTTTGGGAGGCTGAGGTGAGTGGATTGCCTGAGCCCACGGGTTCGAGACCTGCCTGGCCAACTTGGCAAGACCTCATCTCTACAATAAATCAAAATGAGCCGGGCGTGGTAGCGCTATCTGTAGTTCCAGCTACTTGGAAGGCTGAGGCGAAAGGATCGCTGGAGCCCAGCGCCTCGAGGCTGCGGTGGCTGGGAGTGGCCACTGCACTCCAGTCTGGGTGACAGAGTGAGACTCCAACTCAAAAAAAAAAAAAAAAAAAAAAAAAAGACCAGACAGCTTGTTTTCTCTCTGCTCTCTACCACGTGAATATACAACCAGAAAGGGTTTCCCAAGATACTGGATCTGCTGGCACCTTGATTTTAGACTTCTTAGCCTCCAGAACTGTGAGAAATAATGTTTGTTTAAACCACCTAGTCTATATTAATTTACTGTAGCAGCCTGAATTAAGACAGATATCTAATCATATCATCCAAAGAGAAGAATATTCCCATATCTTATGATTGCTGTTCCTTATGATATAGCAACATTTCTGAGTCCTTCATGTGATGACTCCCGTTAAGCTGAGTTTAGTGTGGAATTTCATGGGGTACAGGTGTATGTCTATATAGAAATTGGCTAGAATATACCTAAAGTATTTTTATGCCAATAGCTTCCCACAAATTATTCATTCAAAATATATGCTCTATATATATTCATTTAAAAATAATGCTATCAAAACAACTAGAGGCTGTCAAAGTCAATGGAGGAAAAAGAGGAATTTGAAAATTAAGCTTTGATATCCCAAAAGTACACAAAAACCTCTTCACCTTCAAGCAGGCAATTTAAGCTATTCTCTGACCTTCCTTGGTTTCTGATAAAGGATTTATCTTGTATGGTCCTTGGGCTTTTCTTCTTTAGTCTCATATTATAAATGGGAAGCTGTTGATCAATACAAACACACACACACACACACACACACACACACACACACACAATTATATATGTGTATATACACATATGTGCACGTTGAGAACCTCTTCACCAGGAACTAATAATTTAAAATAGTGGCATTGAGATACAAATTAGAAGGCAACTAGGACACAGAGGTAAAATAAGAAAGAACCAGGGAAGAGGCTCTTTAACCTACCTTCTTCCCAAAGTTTATCTTTTTTATAAACTATGAAAGAATTTTGAGAACAACATAGTTAGGAAACAGTAAAATACATTCCATTCAGCCAGAATTTTTTGATGCGTTACTTCTTATAGGTTAGTTTAAGCATAAGGAAGAATACAGTGCTTAGCAACTAACATATAATAATTAAAAAGACATAAGATGGAGTTAATATATCCAATGAGCATCCATTTTAACACTGCCTAGTTGTCAGGTTTTTCTAGCAGTTCACTTTAATTTACCCTCTAATCAAGAACAGAGCTGGTTCCTCAGAGGTACTAGCTATTGATAATTGTCTTACAACCCCTCCCCAGCTTGTTTTGTTCTATTTAGCTTTTCTATTTCAAGTATTTGCATAAGAAACAAATTAACCTAATCAGATCTTCAGGACAGACCCCATCAACATGGCAGCAATCATGTGACTAACCCACCCATCTGCCTACTATCACCAGTACCTATGCTTACCTGTCCCCTTCATGATGACGTGGAAAAGACCACCACCCAATCACCTTAATGAACTGCCCCCATAAAAGGGAAGGTTTAAAAGCATGGGCCATGTGTTCGTTTAGCTATGGCCAAGCGGTGTTTTCCTAGCTTTGCCCCCCCTCCTCACTCTAATGTACTTTCTAAATAAATTATATTTTCCAATCTAACTTCTGTGCATCTTTTGCGCATGACCGGATCACAGGCACCCCCCACCCCCCACAGTCTAACTTAACATTTTGGAGTCCCTGCTTGGATTGTGACCTAACAATAACTTACCGTGGGTGTTAGGCAGACCTATACACATAAAGTGATTACAGTTCAACAGATGTGTTTACTTCCATAGCCTAATAATCATGGTCACTGAAAGATATGTTCTGCTATATACTACATATTGATACAGAAGACTGACTAAGGTTTGGTTTATATAGAGTAACATGGGCTTTCAAAAAGAATCAGAATACAATTCCTGATTTCAGAACTGTCAAAAACTCCTGAAGGCAAAAGAGACATCATTAGGCTTTGAGAAATCAGAAAACATAACACCAAAGTAAAACATAAATAAAATTGTATTGAAAGAAGTTATAAGATCTAACCTTTTCCCCCCAAATCAGTTCCTCCTTTTTCTTGCCACTCCAACATTGATGAAATGTAGAGTAATTGAAATTTACTCTAGAGACACATCTCCCAAAGGCCATGGAGGGAATGAATTTCAACTAAAATTGAAAAGCCATAAAGAGGTCTGTAAACGAAAAAAAAGGGCACACCACAAATCAAAACTTTAAAACAAAAACTTATTTAGCATCTACAGGTTTAATAAGCTAATAGATTATGCCATTCTTACCATTTCCATTAGCTAAAAAAACCCACTAAGCTGATAGATAACCCAGGAACAAAGCAATAGTTTCACTTCAGCAAAAGCTCCATTGGAGCACCAAAGAATAATGTGTACTAGTGTGACTATTGTTTTTTCTCTGGTGGATTAAGGTTCCATTTTTGGCAAAATTTTTAACGTCTTCATAAATTTATTAATTTCATTTGGTCACAGCGCACATTTAAAAGGGTCAGGATACCGATCAGCTGATCAGTTGCATAAAAACAATGCATTAGCCCTATTTGGGACATGGGAAAGGGTTAAAAAAAAACCACCACGCACACCCAGCATGGGTGCACCTGAATCCTATCTTTATTATCCTGTCTATCACAACTCAAAACAGTTATGGTTTTCTGGGTTACATCCTGGACCGCTAGGGGAAAGGAACACCGAACATCTCGACTCACTGTAACGAACTGCCATCAATATATTAGTCTCTAGCTGTGTTTAAAACACCACAGAAACCAAAATAAACGGAAATCTTAAAAATTATTAATCCGGATGCTTAAAAAGTTGTTTTCAAGAAGTTTGTATCTTCAAAACTGAGACCTCACAATTTAATTTCCTGAAACCTCACAACTGAAGATGCCTTTATTTCTTCTCCTGCTTGTCACACTTCTCTCGGGTGCTAACACATTAAGGGGACTCTAAGGGGCCACGTGGTCAGTGTCAGCCAGAACCCGTTTAGTTTCAGAGCCACAGTTATAGAACATGCTTGGCTACTCGCCCTCAAGAGTTTATCAAGAGCCCTAAAACCCCAATGAACCTGGACAGTCCTTTGCTGCAATGTCCTTCCCAAACCTCACACGTTCCCCAAAGCAGAGTCCACGTGCAGCAGAAAGAGACACCGGCAGGATCATCAGATAAGATACGAAGGTGTTAAAAGTCCTCCTTCCCAACGATCAGCCTGGGACCGGCGTCGGGAAAGCATCCTCTTCAGGATTCGGAGCGACATCCCCACAGGGTTCGGAACACCTAGGAGACGCGCGCCTGGGCTGACCCTCGGCCCCGGGGACCCCATCAGGAAGCAAACCTCGGAGCGCCCCCGCACCACCACCTGTTCGAGCCAGACCAGCAGCCCCACCCCGGAGCCTCAGAGCTCCTGCCCGACGGCGCCGACAGTGCGGGTGCCGCTCCCTCTGGGTTCTGGCGGCCACGGGCCCCGCAGCCTCGCGCACTCCGGGCAAGAAAGTCCCGGCTCGTCCGTCACCCCGCCTGCGGACCGGCCACGCCCGACTCTGCGCCGGGGCTGAGTCTCGGGCAGGATCAGCCGGCCCGCCGCCGAACCCCGCTCTCGCCTCCAGCCGCTCCTTCTCATCGGCCCAGTTCCGCCGCCTCTCCGCCGTCTGAGCCGGCAACCTGACACTCACCTCCTGACAACCGGACCGAGTAACCCCCACCGCCTTGTTCAGCGCCACCGCCGCCGCCGCCGCCGCCGTCTCGGTCACCGTCGCAGCCGCTGCCGCCATGTTTGTTGTGTCTCCGGCTCCCTTCCCGCCCCCCGCCTTGCCCAAGTCTCGCGTGAGCAGGACGTAAGGCGAAAGCGGAGGAGGGAGCCGTTTGTCTCTTATGGGGTTCCGTAGGCCCTAGGGGGCGGGACCTCGGAGGGGTGTGCGGGGCGGTGCCGGGGTGGGTGTGGCCCCGGCTCGGCCCGCCCCCAGGCGCTGGCACGCGTCCCGGAGGCCCGAAGAAACCGCGAGCCTCCCGCCTTGCCGAACTAATGGAGGGCCTTACGGTTCGCCTGCTGCGCGGCAGCGGGCTGGTGAGTGCACTCTGGGGGGTGTCCGGGGGGCCCGGGGCGACCCTGGCTCCTGGCGTCGCAGCCTGCGGGCCTTCGGCTAACGGTCCCTGGGCGCCGGCTTGCCTCGCTCCACGTCCGAGGCCGACTCCTCAGGCCCTTTCCCCGAGGTCAGACTTAGGTCTCGACCTCCCTCCAGGCCTCGGGCGGAGCTGGTCTCCGCATCCGTACGGAGGAGTAGGGGCGGCAGCTAGTAGGAAGGGTGTTGGGGGCTGGTCTAGAAGCTTCTTTGACAGAGGAAGAACCCTGTCGGAGAGCCACGTCGTCGGCAAGATGTCCTTTGCAGGCTCTTGGGTCCTGAGAGCCATCGAGTCTCTGGAGGCGTATTGCATAGATGTCATTTCTCCGATGCCCTAACCTACCTTTCCCCAATGATTACATTTCACCGACCCCCTCCCCCCCCCCAAAAAAACCACGATCGCTGAGCAGAGGGGCTCCCTGAGCAGCTTCCGTGGATGGGCACAGCACAGCCCGGGGGGAACCCATTCCGGTCCCGCTCCCACGAACTTGAGCTGAAACCAGCCTCCTGTTGTAGTTAATTCTGATCTCTGGACCTACACAAATTGTTGATTTTTTTTTTTTCCCTTTTTGAGTTGGAGTCTCACCTCTCCCAGGCAGGAGTGCAGTGGCACGCTCACTACTCAACTGCCGCCCCTCAACCTCCTGGGCTCATCAGGCGATCCTTTCGCCTCAGCCTACCGAATAGCTGGGACTGCAGGTGCAGTGCCATCACACCTGGCTTATTTATTTACTTATTTTTTGTAGGTCTCGCTGTGTTGCCCAGGCTGGTCTTGAATTCGTGGGCTCAAGCAATCCTCCAGCCTCGGCATCCCAAAGTGCTGGGATTGCAGGCTAAGCCACCGGGCCAAACTGTTGATTCTTCATCAGCCCTTATGTCAGACATTGCCACATTGTCTTCAGCTCTTTGTCCTGTGACATGCTTTCCAGAACCCTCGCCCTTCTGTTTGGCAGTACGTTTCTTGGAAATTTTCCAGCTGCTGATGAATACTTTTTATCTTTCTTTTGGATTTACTTTAATGAGCTAAAGGCTCTTCAGCGGCTGCTTCAGATTTATGCCCAGAGGCAGGACTCTTACTGTGTCTCACATTAGAGATAATTAACGTTATTTGACTGATTTACAGGCTTCAGGTGTGAAGAAAATTAGTAAAGTCATGTCAGTCTATGGCTGCAAAGAATCAGAAAAATATTCTTATGAGTACTGTTTAATTCTGTATATAATTGTTGGTTAATAATTTAGCAGGGAAAATTTCCTGGGTTTACCATTTGACTATGTTTTAGAGTGAACATTTCTTGACCGCATGTGCTGTGGTAGACCTGTTCTTGGTGTTCTACCTGAATCATCTCACTTAATTCTCTCAACTATCTTAAGTGGTTTAATATTGTAGATGTAGAAGTTGGTGCTGAAAAAGATTAACTTGTCAAAGGCTAGAAAGTGATAGAACTGGCATTCAAACTCTGTTCTGATTCTAAACATGACCTTCATGCCCTACTGCCTCCCTTTCCTTAGTGATATCAGAGCCCTATTTTGTTTTGATTTGTTGGTTTTATTATGGCTTATAGTCCTTCATAGTTTTCAACCTTTTCTATAAATTAGCTAATGTCATTGTTTTTTGTGAGTCGGAATCTCCCTTCTGCCCATGCTGGAGTGCAGTGGCATGCTCACAGCCACTGCAGCCTCAACCTACTGGGCTCAGGTGATCCTTCCGCTGCAGCTCTCCAAGTAACTAGAACTACAACCGTGTGCCACCACACCTGGCTAATTTTTTGTCTGAGCCCAGGCTGGCCTCGAACCCATGGGCTCAGGTAATCCTCTCGCTCTCGCCTCCACCTCCCAAAGTGCTGGGATTACAGGCATGAGCCACCGCGCCTGCCCAATGTCACTGATTGTATTGTAGTGGTGAAGAATGTGGATACTGCACTTTGGGTTTGAACCCAGGTTCTCTCATTTCCTAGTGGCATAATCTTGGACGGGTAATTCTTTGAGTCTCAGTTTCCTGATCTGTAAAATGGGGAGAATAATTGTCCCTATTTCATAGGGTTGTTGTGAAGATTGAGTTCATATGCTCATATAAAGCGCTTAGAATGCTCAGCCTGTAATTCCGCGCCTTGGGAGGCTGAGGTGAGTGGATTGCCTGAGCCTGCGGGTTCGAGACCTGCCTGGGCAACTTGGTGAGACCTCATCTCTACAATAAATCAAAAAATAGCCGGGCGTGGTAGCTCACGCCTGTAGTTCCAGCTGCTTGGAAGGCTGAGGCGGAAGGATCGCCGGAGCCCAGCAGGTCGAGGCTGCAGTGGCCGGGAGCGGGCACTGCACTCCAGTCTGGGTGACAGAGTGAGACTCCAACTCAAAAAAAAAAAAAAAAAAAAGAATAGTGCCTCATAGACTCAACTCTCGGTAAATGTTAAGTAGCTCTTATTGCCATGCATGAGGCATTGTGTGCTGTAACAGACATAATAATGGGTAAAACACTCCACCCTCAAGAAGCTTCTCTTTTAGTGGAGAGATTAGAACTCCATCCAATAAACTTCATATCATTTAGGCATGGAACAAATCCTAAAGGGCTGTGGGCTCAAAGGAGAGAGATGACTAGGACCATTGAGAAAGAGGCTCTTTGGAAGCTGGGTTCGAGTTTAGGAGGGGAAAACACTGCAGCAAAAGGGGAATGAGTCATTTTAAAGAATTTGGGAGTTTATCCTTTTAGATAATGGAGAGTCATTAAAGGTTTAGAGCCCTGAAGTTACTTAGTGCCACAGTGTAGATTGTTGTGGTCTCAAGTGGCATGAACGGTAGAGAAATGCAAGTTAGGGCTGATTTTGGTCTCTATCCAGAGGCAAATGGAGAGCCAGCATTTACTGAGAATTTGCTAGGGACCAGAGACAGCATTTTACATTTAGGCATGTAACAAACTACCCTGTTTATTCTTCCTGTGAACCTATGAGGTGGGTATTAGTGACTACCTTTTGCAAATGAGAAACTCAGGCAATAACCTGTATTCCCAAGTCATAAAACAGTCAGGTAGCAGCTGCTGGCCCTTAGCCACACACAACCCATTACCAATAACTCGGAGAGGAGGAGGTGGGGTTACCTTTGCTTTATGTGAAGTACTCGGATAAGTCTGAAGGGATCTGTAAGTTTACAGCAGGGTTCTTGACATCAAGGAAATTACATTTTTGATTGGGGAGATAGGGTACACGAGGGAGGACCCCCCCGCAAAATTGAATTATCTTTTGGAAGGTGGGCCCCCTGTAATACAGGCTTTCCCTTCTAGGTAAGTATTCTAGGAGCCCATAGGCATCAGTGTAACAGCTAGCGTTATGAGAGGATGCGTTTGGCTTCAGTGAATTTTTCTGGGCAAGTCTTTCAATGCATTTGCCCATTTCGTGATGGGTGACTTATGAGCACACCTGCCCACACTGGGCTGAATGTTCAACCGTTTTTGTTTTTGTTTTTTACCAAAAATGTCATGACCCTTGTGCTGTACCCTCCCTGTTCACCTGATCTCACCCCAAGTGACCCTTTGTTTCCCCGGAGGAAAAAAGTCCTCAAGGGGAAATGTTTTGCTGATGTTGAAGAGGTGAAACAAATAACAGCAGAAACACTACAAGGCATCAAAATTGATGCATTCAAAAACCGTTTTGAGCAGTGGAAGAAGCATCTCGATAGGTGTATTGCATCAAATGGAGAGTACTTTGAAGGTCACTGAAGTTTAAACGTGTAAGTATAAATATACTTTTATAAATAAATTCCAGGGTTTTGGGGGTCCCCCCTCATGTGCTAAAAATTAATATTAGGATAGTAGATGATAAAGAGTGTGGGCAGATGTGCTGATAAGAGATGAGTCTTGAAGTGACCATCCAAAGAAGGGATGGCTTAGGTAAAGCATCAGAGAGGTGCAGGTTCCAAGGCAAGGAGATATGTAGGTAAAGGTGTAGAAGTAGGAATATGCTCTACTTGTTTAAGAAATAATACGCCATGATAGCTGACGTGACAAATTTGCAGAAGGCTAGAATGGAATGAGATGGCAAGCCCCTGTCATGTTAAGGATTCAAGTCTGTACTTGTTCCTGTAGCAGTGAGGAGCTCATAGCTGTCAAGCAGTTTTGACTTCTCCAATCTGGGAAACTAGAGACACAGACTAAAGTTAAGCACAGGTTTATTCTGCTACTTCCTGCATGAGTGTGTTGCCCAGACAAGGTTGCCCACCATCCTGGAAACAGTCCTTTCATTTATCAAAACATAAGCATTTGTTACTCATCAGTACAGAAATGGCTGTTCTCTGCAGATGCAAATGTATCTTTGTTTTGCACCCTTCTTTCTCTCTGGTGCCAGGATGACTAAGTAACCATAATGATTCTCCTTGGCAACCATAATATTCTTTCTCCTTTCTCTCAGGATCCTTGCACCCTAGCTTTGTCTTGCGCACACATTGTTTCGATTCCTTCTTTCTAAGAGATAAACCAGGGTGGCACTATTGACATTTAGGGCTGGATAATTGAATACTGTGGCAGGGCATTTCTGTTTGTTGTAGGATATTTAACAGCATCTCTGACCTCTACTTGTGAGAGGCCCATAGCATCTGTAAGCTGTGGCAACCAAAAATGTCTCTAGACATTGCCAAATGTTCTCTGGGGGCAAAATCACCAGATTGAGAACCACTGGTGTAGACCTGTATAATGTGCTCCGTGAAGGTGTGGAAAGGTGACCTTTCTCCTTATAACCTGGTAGAAAACTCCCAAACTATTTGCCAGCCCCAGCTTGTCGACTATAACAATGGATCTATAGTTTGAAAGATTCTTCTTGAAAGGTCCCAACAGGAACCACTGAAATTCTGAGGTCTACTCGCACAGGGTTTTACAAGATGAAATGGTTAGCAGCTCACAAAAGAAATTTGTCAGGTGAGACTGAGAAGCCACAGGTATCAGACCATTTCAAAAGTTCCTCTG